TTTTTCATATATTTGTTATTTTTTATGATTCAAGTAACAATTTGATTAAATCAGGCAAGTTTGTGTATGAAAGCGTGTTGATCAATTATATGCGGAATCAAAACGTACCTTTTACTTTTCAGTATTGGTATGTTACAAATTCCGTATCTATTCCGTACCTTTTCAGTATTATTATTATTGTTATTACTATTATTTTTCTAATTCCGTACATTTTCCATACATTTTCCGTATACATCCATAAATTGCATTCATTACATTGTATTATTGCAACTTTCAAAAAAATTGTATGAAATAAAGATTCTCTCTCGATAGCACTATTCTAAAAACGTCTCCTGGTTAAAAACCTCTAATAATTTTATAAATGTAACAATTTTCCAGAAACCTTAGTGGTAATACTAGTAAAACGCTATTAAAACATGCTGTTTTCAAATCACTACTCTCCGTTTTCAAAGATATGGATACCAAATTTTCATGCAATATAATATAGATTAAAGCTATGGAAAGCTTTAATGTGATGTAAAAGTAAAAATACTAATGGTATAAAATGTTGTGCGTGAAAATCAAATTTGCGTCAATTTGAAATTTATTAATATTAATAATTAAATTTTGGATGGACGTTTGAATACAAAATTCTGATTGGCTAATTTGAATTCAAATTGATGCATTTTTATCTATTGCAACTTCCGGAAAAATTGTATGAAATAAATAAATTCTCTCTCCATAGCACTGTTCTAAAAGTGTCACCTGATTAAGAACCTCTAATAATTTTCAAACCACTACTCCTTCTCTGTTTTCAAAGATATGGCACCAAATTTGTATGTAAAATAGTATATATAATATAAATTAGAGCCATGGAAAGATTTGATGAATGTCAAAAATAACAATGGCATAAAAAACCTCAATTTCATTGTAATATTTTTTATCTATTCCCGAAATTATCCGAAATAAATATATTCTATACGATTAAAGGTTTCAAAATAAATAAAAATTTTAACATGAAACGTGAAACTTTGTATAGTGCATTTTTGAATGTTTATTTAACGTGAAACTTTATTTATATTTACTTAATAAATGCAAAGTTCTTTTACACTGTTTCCTTTTTAAGAAGAAAAAATGGGAATACCATAAAAAATTCCGCATATATTTATTTACATTATGACATTTTTGTTAATCAACTTATATCGAATACCCAGCGCATCATGCAATTTCCCATCTCTAAATTTTACCTATATTATTCATTGGACATAAAAAATTGTTACTCTTAAAAAGTCCTAGACCTTTTAATGTAATCCTATAAACATTTTTCACCTTGGTTTGCCTGGAGCCTCGATTAGAAGTTTCCGGATCACGTTAAGGCCTGCTTAATAATTTTAGTTAGGAGCTAATTTATTTATTTATAGCATTAAATAATAATTGGTTATAATAATAAGCAAATGTGTTTGGATTCAATGAATTAAACTTTTTTGCCCCATTAATATTACCATAATGACATTAATTGATCTACTGGATGAAACGAATTTATTCACGTATCACGAATTAATCTGCCAAATTATTAAAATTTAAATATTTTCCTTCGCTATATTAATATAGAATACTAATACTAAATAAAAGGCATGTTTTTTAATCATGAAAAATTTTGTTTTTAAAAAAAATGAATCATCATCACTATTTAAAATCGTTAATAATAATTTTCAATTTATTAGTCAATCCTTTGGTTTCTAGTCAATTACATCTTCGTGATACTTCCATAGTTTTAAATGATAGAATATATTATTTTGGTGGAAATTCCAAATCAATAATTTACCTAGATTTACTCGCATCATTTCCACTCGAGCGAACATTACCAATAAAACGAATTGTTCCAAAATCAGTAAGCCCTCGATTTAGTCATGCATCATTAGCATTAGGAGGAGTTAATAATGACACACTTTATGTTATAGCTGGATCTAGAGGTGTAGCACCTGGTTCTACAGCTTATGGATCTATAGTTTATTCAATAAATACAAATTCATTTGATACATGGATTCCAATAACCCCTGACGGACAGCTGCAGTTAAATAAAGTTGGGAAAACAAAGTATACACAAGATAATAATGGAAACACATATATAGTCACTATTAATGATCCAAATATATATAAATTCAATTCCAAAGAGTTGATATTTACAACCTTAACACCAAGTAATAGTGGTCCATCTATAATAAGAGTATCTGATTTCAATTGTCATGTGTTGAGTGATGAGAATATAATTTACCTTGATCTTTATGCAACTAAAGTAATATTATAATTTATTCTTTTATTATTTAATTAAATAAAAGGAATGATAGTATTGTATTTTCTAATAATACATATTATGTTTAGATATACTTGTATAACATTGATCAAAATACATGGTCTGATATTGTAAGTTATAATCATCAATAACAATATTTTCAACTAAAAGATATTAATAAATATTTTTCTATATTAGATAACAATTGGTGATATACCTTCTAGACGAAATGGACATTCTTCAGTATTAGGTAACTTAATCAGTTTTATTATTAATTATAATTATATATTTTTTTAATTTATATATACACATATTTATTTGTTTTTAGCACCTGATGGAAGGCTAATTGTGTATGGTGGTACTAATGAAACAGATAAATTAGCAATATTGGATGTAACAAAATCTCCTTTCCAATGGACAGTTCCAACAAATATTGCTAATTATCCAGTTAATCTAACTGATAAAGCACATAAATTTCATACTTCAAATTTATATAAAAATTACATGATAATTTCATTTGGTAACTTATGATAATGATAATTTAAAATTCACATCTAAAATATATTATTTATTTTTATTTATATTTAATAATAATAATAACAGGTAGGATTATCGTCGATATTGGTGATAATCAAAATTATCAAAATATTTTACTATTAGATATTAGTGACAAATATAATTATAGATGGATGGACACATTTGACCCTCTAACCAATCCTCGATCAACTTCTAGTAATAAAAATATAATCATTAGATTAACTGTATCTGGTGCAATCTTTACCATTGCTTTGATTGCTATTCTTATTTTATGTATAAGAAAAAGGAAACCGAATGAAAAGGGAATTCCTCCACCACCTCTTCCAATTGTTGTTGAACCTGTTGGGGGTGATTGGTCAAGGTGGCTCAAGGAGGCAATTCAGAATGGACACATTAATTTATATATATATAGTGACTTTAAAATTACCCAAAAAATTGGTTCAGGTGGTTATGGAGAAGTTTGTAAAGCAACATATAACAATAGTAGTACTTTTGCGTTGAAATCCTATAAACATGGTATAACACATATGAAAGAAGTTACTAATGAGGTGAATTTCAATATATTTTTGGTTATAGATTAAAAAAAAATTTTCAACTAACAATAATAATTGGTTCAATTAGTTAAAATTATTACGTAAAGTTGACTACCATCAAAATATTATTCATTTCTATGGTGTCACTGAGAATGAAGGTGTGTTTAAATTGTTTCTTGTTTTGATTTTCTTACATTAACTAATATTTATATTTATATATAAAAACAAAGGGGAATATTTATTGGTCCTTGAGTATGCAGATAGTGGAACACTAAGGGACTACCTACAAGAAAAGGTTGAATCAATCAGTTGGGATCTAAAGCTGAAATTTGCATCTGAGATTGCATCAGCTGTTTCATGTTTACATGAAAACAATATTATCCATCGGGATTTGGTAATTAAATAATTGCATATTATGTACATAAATTTACTATTTTAAAAAAAAATTATATTTAATAATGTTTATCTTTTTTCGAAAAGCATTCGAAAAATTTCTTGGTTCACCAAAAAACAATAAAATTGGTAGATTTTGGACTTTCCCGTAAAATACGTGAATCTACAACCACTTCAACATTCCAAGTGGCAGGAATAGTACCTTATATTGACCCACAGTGTTTCAAGATTAACAATAATAAAGTATATAAACCAAACAAAAAATCAGATGTATACAGTGTGGGTGTTTTATTATGGGAATTGAGTAGTAACCGACCACCTTTTAGTAATCTGGATCAAGATCAACAACATACTTTACATCTTCATATTGCTCAGGGAATTCGTGAGGAACCTATTCTTAGTGCACCTGATGAATATATTAATTTGTACAAAGGTAAAATCTATATATATATTTAAAAACTATATATTTATATGCATTAAATTATTGTTAATCATTTACTTGTGTTTAGAATGTTGGGAGGATGACCCAAAAAACAGACCTGATATTCAATATGTTGAAACAATGCTTGGAAAAATTTCAGGCTCAAATATAGTTGATATAGTTTATGGAGAGGGGCCACGAAAAGATAAAGACAATAGTTCTCTAAATGATTCCAGTATTATTTCAACAGGGCCTACCACTATTAATTTCCTGGAAATTCCCTGACCCTGAAGACCATACATACAACTTCATTAATGTCAACAATGTAATTGTAAACATATATTATTGTGATATTATCATACTCATACTTTCATTTCTTATTTGTACATATATTATTATTATTTATATAACACAACCTTTAATTAGATCCTCCTGAACTGAGGCATATCAACTGTTAATAATTCTTTTCAAAAATTGCAAAACCACTCATTAAGCATTTAAATAGATATTTTATATTTGATATATACACATAAAACTAATTCTAATTCTAACAAATAAATATTAATTTTTTAATTAGCTGAAGTGACAAAATCTTCATATTGATTATTATTATGAATCAGACTTGACTTCATATCAAGAAAACTTCACTCAGCAAAAATATACTTGGTGGTTGTAAAAAATAAAGGTGAAATAAAGGGTGGGCCAACCTTGACCATTTCTTTCAATGGAAAAGAATAAAAAGAATTACTTTCCTGAATTCAAAACAGATGGTAATAAGAACTGCAATTTAATTTTCATATGCCGCAATTAGTTGCAACTAGTCGCGATTAATTGAGAAACGTGAACGTTTTGATCGTGAAAAGGATTTTTAATGGATAAATAATGTAAACAACAGTGATATAGAGGTTTAATACTATTGAATCTACTTCATCTCATGTTGCTAGTCCTTTATATTGTTATAATATCGATAATCTTTCAATTGTTTTTAGAATAAAACAATGGTAAGTTATTACTAAAATACCGGTTGGTTTGCAAAATAGGAAATATTTCCGAACAAGGAAAAGAAAATGCTTAACTGGTAGGGAATTATGAATTAAATATAAGCAAGATAATATGTTCTAAATGCTATAGTTCTTATATAGCATATGATAGAAAGCCTGAAGATGCGCCATATAAAATAAGAAAACCAACTGAAAAATCAAATTAAAAAGCGGAATTAGAAAAGATTATTAGAATTAATATTAATTAAATAAATTTTTTTTTAGATGGTATTATTATGATCCCGATGAATTTGTAAAAAAGAAATCCAGTAAAATACTTGGCAAATAGTTTTAATATATTTTCCACATTGACCCAACTGGCTCTCTGAATGTTTCTCAGAAAGCAGAGCAAACAAGAAGGTCAAACAAAAGAAAAAAACTCCTTGAAAGCATACTTTGAACAAATCAACAGATTTTTTTATCAATACCATCAATGAAGTTTGCAAATATATACGAATTAGTTGACAAAGGGTTCTAGGATTGATTTCCAAACCTGGTACTTAAAAAAACTGGATTAGAACCATTTTCCCACAGTTAAAAAAGTAACTGTTTTCGACACTATCTTTATAACGGATTTTCTTCTTAAATTTGCTAAACAAAGTTTGCTTTTTTAATTAAAATTAAAATATTTCTAGACATTCTATTTACTGATCAGTAGTTTAAGCTGGAATTATACTATTTTAAACGCAATAAAAACAAGAAAAACAACAATAATAATTTTAAAGAATATTTTTAATTTGTATGTAACCATTTTGGTTAATAGTTTTCATTTTCACCTTTAGGCCCGCAAAGTATTTGACAGCGCAATAGTAACACATTTTTATTATAATAATAATGATGATGATGGTATAGCAGAGTCAGAGCTTCCACCTTGAGAAATTGAGGAAAACAAACAGCGAAAAACAGAAGTCCAGGCTCAAGTATTATTAACATTAGAAATAACATCTGAAAATTTCCTGATTTGGCTCTATTAATAGTTGAAATTATTCGTGATAAGAAAATCGGTGATTCTTTATGTTATGCATTTATTGATTTTGAGAAATAGGAAGGAAAATGCATATTTCAAAATGGACAATGTATGTACTGATTGTTGATTTTTCACAATCAGTTTCTAAACCTCATCAAGATTGGATCTCTACTATGAGAAGAATGTAAAAGATATTGTCGTGAAGATGGTGATGGTCTTACAAAAAAGAAATTTTTTTTTTAAAAAAAAATTATCATGCAAATTTAAATTCAATAAATATATATATAAAATATAAAATGTAAAAATAATGATTATTCTGGCCAAACTCTTTCGCTTATATTTGGCTGGCCCGATTCAACGTAATACGTAGCATCCCTAATAAACAGATAAAATAATAAATGATTTTGAACACCCCCCCCCCCCTCATGACTGCTACCACGACTAATAAAAGCAAAACCACAATTTACCGTTCAATAATCCTAATTTCTCCGCCATTTCTATTTAATATTAATCGTAATCTTCTATCGAATAATCTTGTTTCACTGTAAATACATCCAATAAGTTTAATTAAATGAATTAAAAAATAAAAGATGAGATCGATTGATTGATGTTACTATACCCATTTTTAATATCCACAACATCTTGCACCCTAAGTTCATTCCCAACATCTCCCCAGATTGCCATTCTGCACATAGCAGTTTCATCGGCAACCAGGAAGATATTGACTGGTGCATTAATTCTTGATGCTATAAATGTGTCGACTAAAAATAATGATATTAATTAATAATAATAATAATAATTTTAATGTATGTTCAATGATTCACCGTTAATCAATTTTACTTACCACGTTCTAGTATTATGCATTTTGTATCAAATCCCCTAAGCCAAGGCCTTAAATCAATTATTTTAAATTCGCCTCTTACATCTGTAAATACTTGTTGTCGTGGTCCTGGTCGTGCTTTTCGTGTCCCTGGTTTAGATTTTGCAACTGTTGAGACTGTAATTGAATGAATGAGTTGTTAGTGTTGTTGTTATTTTTATTATTTTTTTAGTCGAGTATACTTTTCTTTACCTCTAAAAATATTTTTATCGAATTGATATAAAATCCCGACTTGCGGAATTTCATTGATCAATGAAATCATTATTACAATGTATATATGTGTGTGTGGGGCCGTTCAAATTTAATAAATTGTTTGAAAGTTTTGTGGGTTGCTTGATAATTATGTTAAAACAATAAACAAATTTGAACGTCCTACATACCTGAAATACTTTTCAAGCTTATAAAGAAATAATATCACTAATAAAAACGGCCAATAAATCAAAAGCATAAAGAAAAAAAATGGTGTAATAAGAACGAAGAAATTTAGAAAAATAATTAAAAAGGTGTATTTAAACATTTTTTTTTTTTTTTTTTTTTATTAAAATTAAGTTTGAACGTTATAGTAAAAATACGTCGTCACAGTGAACTCTTTTTTGGATCTTCCATTTCACTTTTTTCTATTGGCTAAATCCAAGAAGAAAACTTTATATTTTTTTTTGGATTTATTAAATAATTTAATATAACTATAATAAAACTTTTAATTTTATTTTATTTTATTTTTTTTTAGATTAATTAATTACTCTATTAAAGTTAATTCTCGTTTTCTATTCGGTGCATATATATCTTTATAATCATTCCAAATTTTAAATAATTCTTCGATATATTTTTCCTGGATTTTAAGAACCTCTTCATCACTCGGATTAGCATTTTGTATGACTTCGATTGGTTTACCAACTAAATATATAATAATCATTATATATATATATATATATTATTAAAACATGTACATTAAAAGGAAATAAAACACATGACACATACCAACAGTTGTAATTTGTCTTCTATGTGGAAGAACTCCGATATCATCTAAAATAAAATAAATTTTTAGATCAAACAAATAAATAATTATCCATCTTCTTCCAACAAATACATTTACTCATCAATCATCTCTCTCTCTCTCTCTCTCTCTCTTTCATTTCTCCAAACTTACAATTGAAAAGTCCTCTTCCGTAGGCTAACGGCATTGTCCATCCGATATACTTTTGTACCAGCTTCTGGAATTTCCAAACCTTACTTTCCCTAGGATTATCAGCCTGTTCCCAAATATCATTTTCACCAAATGAAAAAACAGGTACCAGACAAGCACCACATCGTATGGCCAACCTAACAAACCCTAACCTTTTTTTCAATATCAACTCATAAACACCTGGTCTTGCACTCAAACTTTCACCTGCTCCTCCAATCACAATCATCACTGAGTGACCTGGTCCTTTCTTTAAAATGTTTTCACATGATTGTCTTGACACAGACGCGACACCCTGAGCCATCAAATATTCACGATAAAGTGGCATATTGAAATTGCCTGACAAAGTCAACAGTCTACATGTTATACCAGGAAAATGTTTGGAATAATCGTTGGCTTCTGTTGCAAAATTTGTCCATGCTCCAACTGATATGACTCCATGTGGATGATATCCAAATAAATAATTTTTTTTTGGATCTAAATCCGCCGTCTTTTTTGTTTTACCAAGAAATAAAATGTCAAAAAAATTTTATATAATTTGAAAAAGTACATGTAAATAATATTTGTGTATATACCAATATTCACCAGCATTACATACCTTTACTAATTTGATTGGAAAATATTTAGCGTACCATTTCCAATATATATTTTTCCTAGCAAAATCAAATCTTCTTCCACCATTTTCAGGTGCAATATCAAAATGCGCAAATAGCAAATATGCAATAATCCATGGCCAAAAAAATGGTATTGTACAACACAAAAAGAATAAAAACAATGTAACCGGTAAAGACATAAGCCAAAATAATACAGTTGCAGTTTGTCTTCTTCTTTCAAATGGAACATTTAACGGTGCAAATTTTAGCATTTTTTCTTTTTGATGATGATGAAAATAATAATTGTGATAAAATTTCTATATTAAAGAGTTAGCAAAAATGAAGGTAATTAATTACAATGATGGTGGTAATGATGGTGGTGAAAAGTGAAAAAAGAAGAAAAAATTTCCTTTACTATGATTTGTTACAAGGGAAATCTTTTTTAAAAATAAATATTATCATTATATCATCCATCATATTTTAGAAAAAAGCGTGTGTCGAAGCATGATTTCAATTTATCCGTGTAACAAAATAATGAAAAATAATTTAAAAAATATATGAGCCATTACTTTAATGAAAAATTATATTGTATATATAAATAGGCTTTACTTGATTTGCATTAGAATATATGACGATGATAATGACGATCAACCTGAAATTTAACGAAATACTTAATTTTTACAAGCGAGTTTTTTTCTTCATTACAAACTTACAAGAACCAGCTTTATAATATAAACCAAAGAATCAAAGGAAAAATCGATGCAATAAACTCTAAAGAGCCTGAAATCGAACATAAACTCTCATTAGTGGTCAAAAGTACTACTCGGGAAATGTTGAAAAATCGCAAAAAGATTTTAAATAGTTATTTTATAAGAAAAAAGATTTAATAAAATGGTAACTGAAATTTTTAAGTTGCCCGGAAAGAGAAAAATAAATTAAAAACATAAATAGTTTTGGGTCTGAGTACTTTCCTCTCATGCAATTAATTGTTCCAGTGACTTTTTATCTTATGTATATTTTCTATGTAATTTTCTATGTAATAGTTGAACCCGATTCAAATCAATCACATAGAACAAGGAAAATGAAATAATTTGTTTGTTTTGATTGAAGTCTTTAATTCTGTTGTATGTGGAATTGAAACTATGTGGAATTGAAATTCATAATTAAAATATGTGGGTGTTTGGATATGAAATTCTGATTGGCTAAGATTTCACATAGATTTCATTTTCACGTACAACAATTTTTTTAGAATCTGCTAATTTAGATATCCAATTTCTACCTCTACAAATTCTCATTGTATCTCCCGTTAATTTCTTCGGCTTATAACCGCGTAATCTTTTCATCACTACTGATAATTGTTTCATTATCCGAGGATAAAAGTTTCTAGTCTTTTTTTTTTAGAACCAAGATTTGCTGGGCATGCTATGAAATATAAAGTAAAATAAATAGGTTTTATTATATCATACAATAATTTGTACAAATTCTATATGTAATTATGGTGATTATATTTATATGGATGTGATCTATATATACAAAATATAATTTTCTAAAAATATCCTTCCCCAAATTCATCTTTGATCTAATTAATCAAATTAACGTCTCTTTTTACAAACCAATCAATCATAACTTCCATAACTTTCTCACCACTACCAATATCTCGCAACATGTCATGTTCACAATTATCATATGAGGTCATAAATTTTTGATCCTCTAGAGTTTGAGACTGTAAAATCAATTCTTTTGATCCCCTTATATGACAAACACGGTCATTCATTCCATGTAATATTAAAAATGGTTTATGTATCTCTTCAAGATTCAATTGCAACCATTCAATACCTGCCAATATTGACTAATGATGTATGACGAAACTTTTGACTTTAGTCGTTGAAGTGACTAAAGTTTTGACTAAAGGTAGTTTTTCATCAAGGCCATTTTGAGGATTTGAGTAAAATAAAAGCCCTTGACGTAATTAAAATAGAATTATCAAAAGTTCCAAATTATGTAAAAATATGTATCCTGGGGATGAATAAGGAATTATTATATTATTGTATGTATATTGCAATGATGCAGAATAATAATTAACATGGAAAGTTATAATTTGAATTAGAAAGTTTACTTAATTAAATTAAATTACTTGACTTTTTTTCCGTATATTTTCTTTCAAAATAAAAAGGCCTCTCCTTTTTTTACAAATTAAAACCATTCTTTTATTATTACATTTCATAAAATGTAAAAAATCAAATTGTCTTTACATACATATGAGTTGTGTTACATTGATTAATTACGTGCAGTACGTAGTAATACGCAATAATATTAATAATGTGCTTGAGCTGTTTTTAGAATCTGAGTTTGAAGCAACATAAGTTGATTAATATTGGTACTTAGAACGACCTTTACATACCACATAAGACAGGTTTTGGTACATAATTTTGTGAGTTTTAATTTTGTTTCTATTTTTATCACTTTAAATTTTCAAAGCATTTGTTTTATCACTAAAGTTTGGTGATGGTGAAACTGTTCTTTAAATTATGCAATTTTCAATTCAAAAAAATGTTGTACGAAAAAATTGTTTGTTACACGTCCGCAAAGAAAAAGGAAATAATATAACTGTCATTCTCAAAATCTCCACATTCATTAAAACAACAAGTCAAAGTTTTATATTTTATATTTTTATATAATGTCACATGATAGATTATTATCATCGTTATCACCAGAAAAGGTGGAATTTGTAATTAAAATTAAAAATGAAATGCATAATAATGCTAATGTTAATTCTGGTAAAGAAAGTAGTAAAGACTATTATTTTACATTAGTTGAAAAAAACAAGGAGCTTTCTAAAAATGAAAAAAAATATTGTAAGCAAGAGTTTATTTATAACTTTGAATTAAATAATGCAACATATAAAAAAGGTGAACCAAAAGAATGTAACAAGTGTAAATTGACAAAATACTCTGATAGATTCTGTGAAGGTTGTATCAGTTTACATTTA